TGGACTGAATTAGTCCTGGTTTTAGTCTTGGTGTTAGTTCTGGTTTAGAGGCGCACAGGAGGAAGCGCGGTTTACGCAGCGTAGCGAGAAAACACGATCCACACGCGGCTCATGGGAGCACGTCGGTGTCCGCGCAGTGACTACGGAAGGAAACATGGTCCGCGCGTTCTCAGGTTAATGACGATGATGAAGGTGTGTGTTTGTGTTTGTGTTTGTGTGCGTGTCCCCTCATGTGGCGGGTCACTATAGGACAGTAGTGCAGGCATCATGAGCCTATGCAGGTTGTTTTCACCAGTGACATTTAAGTTGTAGACGATATTATATTTGTTATTTTCTTTTATATTTCACGTCGGGAGAATAATTTCCAAGACACGAATGTGTTTTTACCTGTGCACTGCTGCTCTGTACTACTGGCTGTTCGACCTCGTCCATTGTGCGACTGACGCCATAAACGTCGTTCTTACTGCGCGTGTTTTGTGCGGGTTTCCGACAATGAGTGGAATTGCCGAAATTAAAAAATGTATAAATGTGTTTTTTGTTTGTGCGTGTGTGTGTGTTGTTGTTGTCCCAACAACACATAAAAACAGGTTTTATAATAAAGCAACTCACATACAGAAACAGTAAAGTTAGAGATTAAAAATGAGATTAACGCGATTAAAAAACATAACGCGCTAAATATGACTGTAATTAATTAATCGCAATTAACACGATAATTTGACACCCCTAATAGTATATATAGTAGTATATAGTAGTATAGTATATATAGTAGTATATAATAGTATAGTACATATAGTAGTATATATTAGTATAGTACATACAGTAGTATATATTAGTATAGTACATATAGTAGTATATATTAGTATATAGTACATATAGTAGTATATATTAGTATAGTACATATAAGTAGTATATATTAGTATAGTACATATAGTAGTATATAATTAGCATATATAGTATATATTAGTATATATTAGTATAGTACATATAGTATATATATAGTACATATATAGTATATATTAGTATAGTACATACAGTAGTATATATTAGTATAGTACATATAGTAGTATATATTAGTATAGTACATATAGTAGTATATTATATAGTATAGTATATAGTATATAGTAGTAATATATTAGTATAGTACATATAGTAGTATATATTAGTATAGTACACATAGTAGTATATAGTATAGTACATACAGTAGTATATATTAGTATAGTACATACATAGTATATATTAGTATAAGTATATAGTAGTATATATTAGTATAGTACATATAGTAGTATATATTAGTATAGTACATATAGTAGTAGTATATATTAGTATAGTACATATAGTAGTATTAATTAGTAGTATAGTACATATATAGTATATATTAGTATAGTACATACAGTAGTATATATATATAGTACATATAGTAGTTATATATTAGTAGTACATATAGTATATATTAGTATAGTACATATAGTAGTATATTAGTATAGTACATATAGTAGTAGTATATATATAGTATAGTACATATAGTATATATATTAGTATATAGTACATATAGTAGTATATATTAGTATAGTACATATAGTATAGTATATATTAGTATATACATATAGTAGTATATATTAGTATAGTACATACAGTATATATAGTAGTATATATAGTATATGTATAGTACATATATAGTAGTATATATTAGTATAGTACATATAGTAGTATATATAGTATAGTACATATAGTAGTATATATTAGTATAGTACATATAGTAGTATATATTAGTATAGTACATATAGTAGTATATATAGTATAGTACATACAGTAGTATATATTAGTATATATATAGTACATATAGTAGTATTATATTAGTAGTACATACAGTATAGTATATTAGTATATATACATATAGTAGTATATATATTAGTATAGTACATATAGTAGTATATATTAGTATAGTACATATAGTAGTATATATTAGTATAGTACATATAGTAGTATATATTAGTATAGTACATATAGTAGTATATATTAGTATAGTACATATAGTAGTATATATTAGTATAGTACATACAGTAGTATATATTAGTATAGTACATATAGTAGTATATATTAGTATAGTACATATAGTAGTATATATTAGTATAGTACATATAGTAGTATATATTAGTATAGTACATATAGTAGTATATATTAGTATAGTACATATAGTAGTATATATATATAGTATAGTACATATAGTAGTATATATTAGTATAGTACATATAGTAGTATATATTAGTATAGTACATATAGTAGTATATATAGTATAGTACATATAGTAGTATATATTAGTATAGTACATATAGTAGTATATATATATAGTATATAGTACATATAGTAGTATATATTAGTATAGTATACATATAGTATATAGTATATATATTAGTATATAGTACATATAGTAGTATATATTAGTATAGTACATATAGTAGTATATATTAGTATAGTACATATAGTAGTATATATAGTATAGTATATAGTAGTATATATATAGTATAGTATATATAGTATATATTAGTATAGTACATATAGTAGTATATATTAGTATAGTACATATAGTAGTATATATTAGTATAGTACATACAGTAGTATATATTAGTATAGTACATATAGTAGTATATATTAGTATAGTACATATAGTAGTATATATTAGTCAAAGCTGTCAACAGTTGACCAGATGTGTTTGTAAAGGAGACTGTTGTGGTCGGTGTAAATGTTTTTGTCTGGGTTTAAATTGCACACAGCTTTGTGGTTGCAATTGCAATGATTAAGGTCAATAAGCAAAGTTTAACAAAAATGAAAAAAACAAACAAACAAACAAACAAACAAAAACTTTATTTAACTTTATTGTTTTACCGATAGTTCTTAAGCACATACAGCATTATGAATGGTTCTATTTTAATGGCTCTATTTCTGAAATTAACTTAATTATGTCAATATGTTGCATTTTATTTAAATTTTGCTCATGTTTTTATTTCTACTTCCCAGATGGTTATTGGGATACTTTTGATTTCAAATTGGGAGAAAATTGAATTAATTTTGTGCAAAATTAAATATATTTTTATGTAAAATTAGTTGAATACCTGACATTGCATTACTGTATATGTATATATTTGTAAATTTGTGATTTATTCCATTAATTTTGATTAAGAACATGATGACTTATTGTCTTTTAGCTCATACTTATGTGAAATCAATTGTTTGGTCGGCCATCTTGAAAAATGGCCACCATGTTGAATATTTCAGGTGACTAACGAGTTTTTCTAAAAGAGCATGATGTTAGCTAAATATATGAAAAATTTGGTGCTTGTAGCACTAACTGAATGATTCTTGTGGTTTGGAGACCTAATCTGCTCCACTATTGTCAATGTATGCAAGAAACCACATCATTTTTGAAACTATAATAAAAAACTAATCAATCAATCAATCAAAATACTTATGCAGTATACAGTTCAAAGTTAAGCTAGCTTGGAGTCATAATAAGGTGTGTAACTTCTCCAAGAAGACCACATGATGCCATGTGTGCACATCAGGTCTTATTGTAAGTAAGTCAATCTTTATTTATATAGTGCTTTTCACAGACATATATCACAAAGATGCTTTACAGAGCTTTTTTTTTTTTTTTTTAAAGATTCATTATTCTTTTTCTGCACACCTGGTGATGGTAAAGCACCTATTGTAGCCACAGCTGCCCTGGGACAGACTGACGGAAGTGCAGCTGCCGTGCCAATCGGCACCATCAGTCCCTCCGACCACCACCATCACTTTCATACTAGGCAATGTGGGTGAAGTGTCTTGCCTAAGGACACAACAACAGTTTTTTGCAACTGCCGCCCCACTGTGGAACCTGATTTTCCCAGCAGTCTCCCATCCAAGTACTAACCAGGCCCAGCCTTGCTTAGGTTCTGAGATCTGATGGTCTTTGACAAGCCGGTATGGCCACAATTGTCCACTGCAACTTTCCTCACATGCCAGGAGTATTTGCACCATCATCAAGTCAGATTTCTTAACACAGCATGATCTTTATCATAATAACATATCAGGCTCTACCAGTGACCAAAATGTCTAGTAAAGCTATGTGTATAAATGCACCCTTTTAACTGTAGCTTTAACCTTATGAACATGAATATTTACTAAATAGTTTAAACACTTATTATATGACATGGTGGACTGTGCCAGCCTGTGATAAATACATTTTTTCTTAGGTTTTCTTAATCTTAAAGGAAACTTTTTCTGCTGTCCAGAAGATGGATCGGGGTCATCTTGGTCACTGCCTGCAGACCGATGATCTTCTCCGGTACTTTGTCTGTCATCATCATCTCATCTTCGTTTTCAGTGTCCATATCTTGTTGTTCTCTCTATGGTTCGTCTTCTTTTCTGAGTGTATTTCTGCTTCCTCATTATCAACAGAGACCTCTTCTGCCAGCTCACATTGTTCCTCTGGTGTCCTGTTCTTCAGTTATAATCCTATTATGTCTTGCTGTTTATCCTCATGCTTTGTTCCTGTGGGTGACGTGTCTTTTGAAATTCCTTTTCTTTTGATTCTGTGCAGGTGAGTCTCAGCAGGCAAGAAGTCATATGGAAGTAGGAGGTTTCTGTACATTTGGTCTTGCCAAAACTCTCAGTTTTCCTTGACCGGACATGCACCTTGTTGTTCTCTTAGTCAGCTGTTTCAATGGCAAGTCTGTAAGCATCATACATTCAACATCTCCACTTCTCTGCATAGTCTCTGTGGAAAGTGCTCTGACCCTCTGCAGTGAACCTGAACATCAAGAGTCACTGCTCATTTCTCTCAGCAGTTGTCTCACTCCGATCAGTTGTGAAAAGTCAAAATGATCAAAATGGTGCCATACACTTTTATTCTTTTTGTTTGCTTGTAGTTTGTTTGTGAATGGTTTGGTCCCTTAAGTACGGTGGCCGACGGGGGCCAAAAGCACTGCAATAGCTCAATGCGTCTCATTTAGAGAAAACAATTTCAAGTACAGAAACGATGCAAATTCACAGGGTCAAACACAAGTTTAAACGAGGTACAAACAAAATACGTGGTGCAGATGAAAAAAACGCGCTGCAAGAAACAAAGACAAATGCATCATCATCAAATGTGCTGCAAATAGAGAAACGATGCAAAGCGCGAAACGATGAAAAACAAGAAAACACCTGCAAAAGAAAAACGCTGCATAAAGAGTCGCCACAACGGAAGTGCTCCAAACCTGCAGGGGGCGCTCAGTGTAACAGCTCAATGGAGAGACACACCGGCTGGACAGAGAGAAAGGATCTGCCTTTGAGAGACAGAAAACAGCTGACTGACGATACACTACAGCGGGGACTAATGATTGTTACGGTAATGTGGCTTTTATTTGATTATATCCATCTACTGTGTTACGGTCATAACCCACAAAACTGTCAAATAAGTTTGTTTTAAACTGTGTTAACTGTGTGAACCTCGGAGCTTTGAGCTAAAAGTTTAGCTACTAATTTGGAGCTAACGCGATGAAAAGTCCGCTCAAACTTTCATATTTGGACAGAAAGCGTCGTTGCCCTGCAAATAAGTGCCACTTCTGGGTCTTTGCCTGGAACGATGGACCAGGCTGAGAGACTTTAGTGCAGCGGTTTTCAATAGGTGAGGCTCGCCTCCCCTGGGAAGCGCCAAAGAGCCACTGGGAAGGCGTGACACACGCGGACTAAGGCTCGGACTAGACAAGGACTAAACCAGAACTGAATCAGGACTGAGTGTGGGTGACCGCGGGCAAAAGGACTGGCGCAGAGCTCCACGCCCCACGGCGCTAAAGCAGCTGTCGCCTGATCGTGCTTTGCGGACACCTCCATGGGCTTGCGGTTTCTCTCTCTCTCAAGTCCAAGATTAGACCTGGTCTAGTCCTGGTCTAGTCCGGGCCTTCACAGTCAATAATTAATGAAATATTTTTTGAAAATAATAATATCAGAGGTAGTTGACGTATTCTGAAGGGATCCTTGATTGGTGACTGTAAGGATTTTTATTTTTATTTTTTTTGACTATTACTTAAACACAATACATCCAAGCAAGTACAGTAGTAAACTACTACTAACAGAGAAAACAGTAAAGAGAAAACTATTTGAAATGTTTTATATTCATTTTCTTTTCTCATCTGCAGACTCCTGTATGAGGACACAACTTACTGCTGGGGCCACAGAACTGTTGGCTGATGAGACACTCATGATTCATGAAATGGGTCAAATGCAGATGACAAAGTAAAGTCCACACTGCACTGGAGGTGCTGAACCAGACTCCTGCCACAGATTAGGTATGGTGCATGTTGCATTGAAAACTCCAGTATTAATAAGGGCTGCAAATGAATCATGCTCATGTCGAAATCATGATTCAAAGAGTAAAAATACGCATTTCTCAAATGTGTGGGATTCTTCTATTAACTTAGCTGTTTCAATTTATATATTTTCCTGTAATCATTTTGTAGTTTTCCTAATGTGTGTGTCATTACTGGTTTTCACTCTGCAGGACCTGACTTTGAACCTATCAGACATAAGGCCCATTCTGCTCTTCCTCCTCCAGAAGACGAGAGATACATCAGACTGAGTGGCCCAAGTACATTGGTTCATGCCTTCACTGTCCATGTCCACACTCACTGAGGAGGAGGTCGTCCAGACTGCAGCAGATCTGTAGGGCCTCTGGTTGCATCAGGCCTTCCTCCTGCTGTCTCTAATGTGTGTTAATAGTGATGTGTCCTTAAAGTTTAGGTTTAACTTCTAATTTCTTGCACAAGTAAAACAGTAAAATGGTGGTTCCTTTTCATCTTAGCTGAGGAGCACCTAAACAACTTCATCACTGAGGCAGTGTATCATGATAAATGTGGCCTTATATGATATTACCAAGTGTGTGAGACAAAACTGAAAACATATCATTTACTCATAAGTTTTTCTGGATGTTTTTCGTCTATACTGACATTTGTTTCATGGTGAAATGTGCCGTTTATTTAGTGTCTCTTTTGGTAGTAACTGATTACATGCACTAAAAGAATTTACTATTGTACTGCAGTTATGCAGATAATTTGTCCATTTTGAATTGTCACCTGGTTCAGTAAAAAGGTAACAATTTGAGAGTACACTGACAAACAGTTGTTTGTACAAACCTATTAATGCAGTGTGTGCGTAATGGGTTTAATGTTCGACTATTCACATTATGACAAACTATTTCCAGAAGTTCCTATGATTGTTTAATAAATAAATAAATAAATAATAAATAAATAATAAATAAATCTTTTCTCAAAGGAGAGATGTCTTTTTTAATAAACTGACATAAATGCATGCCCGGTATAAATGTAATCCCTTATCAATAGAAACATACTTCATAATGCATGTCCCATCACAGTTTTTGAAACTTTAAGGTCATTTAGTCTATTTTAGATGTATTCCAGAAATAAAGCCATTTTGTTTATGCAAAAGTTAACATAAGTTTTCGCTTTTAACCATAAGATTTGGATGAGAATTATTAGAATAACTTGGTCTCCTACAGTTTGAGTACCCATGCGTAATGTTTTTACCGATTCGTGTAGTAATTTGCGTGGTGCCTGTTGTTAGCATTAGCGTTAGCATCTAATAAAATAACGACCTGTCTCATTTCAGCACGGCCTTTGCGGTCCGCGGACACTGCTACTGAGCGCCCCCTGCAGGTTTGGAGCACTTCCGTTGTGGCGACTCTTTATGCAGCGTTTTTCTTTTGCAGGTGTTTTCTTGGTTTTCATCGTTTGATGATGATGCATTTGTCTTTGTTTCTTGCAGCGCGTTTTTTTCATCTGCACCACGTATTTTGTTTGTACCTCGTTTAAACTTGTGTTTGACCCTGTGAATTTGCATCGTTTCTGTACTTGAAATTGTTTTCTCTAAATGAGACGCATTGAGCTGTTGCAGTGCGTTTGGCCCCCGTCGGCCACCGTACTTAAGCCTTTGCCAGATGTATTGTCTTCACTGCTTGTGTTTGCCAATCTCAAACTGCACAGCGTATGACATCTTACTGTCTCCACGAGCCACACTAGGACAAAGTGACACTAGAAAGAGTCCCTTGTTTTACTCACACAACACTCTTGAATCTTCAAGCCCCCAGGTAAGTACAAATGGGAGCTTGGCTAAAACAAGACATCTTGTTGTTCTGGAGGTGGACTGGTTTTCACATGATATTTGGCAGCTTTTGTTTGGCCAGCAGAGATGGTAATCACTCCTTTCTCTGTTTTTACAGTGCCTTCACTCCTCTTTATTTCTCATCCCACTTAAAAACACTTTTATCAAGGTAAGTTTTTATTTGATGTTTCCCTGTATCTCTTGATGTAGCAAAGTGCTGTTCCTTTAACTTTATGACTCTGAATAAAAAAGTGGGGTTTGGCATTGTGTTCTTGGGTGATGTCAATCAGTCTGAGATGAAGATTGGTTGAACTCTTCTCTTTGTAGTGTTAAGTGTTAGGTCTGTTTTCCTGTCAGATCTCAGAAGCTCATCAAGGCCAGGCCTGGTTAGTGCTTGGATGAGAAACCACTGGGAAAATCAGGTGCCACAGGGGGGTGCCAGTCGTAAAAACTGTCATTGTGTTCTTAGGCAAGACATTTCACTCACAGGGTGAAACAGGGTACACAGCAAGGGTGCTCAATACATCAATTGCGATTTACCAGTCGATCGTCAAGGTCGTGTGGGTAGATCGCCTCGTCTTGGACTCGGTCTTGTCTCTCACTCGAGGTCTGACACTCAGCAAGTGTGATCATATTTCATTGTGGCCGCTGCTGTTGGTAATAAACTTGTAGCGGGTGCAGGAGCGTGTGGGGCGTCTCAGTGCAGCCTGTGCGCTCATTTGAAACCCGCGGAGACTCTACGGCGCATCACAAACACACACGCTCCCTATGCACGGCTCGTCTGCGACAGCGTGTGCCCTCGTGTACCAGCGTGCATCACAGGGCAGGTTCAACTTCCTAAACATCCTACCTGTCCATCTGCCTCACGTCAGCACGCCGCCCCTCGCCTTTTCACGCTCTCGCTCCTTCCTGCGTACAGCGAACACAAGCCCCTCCCACACTGCACGCTGATTAGAAGAGCAAGACCAAACGTGAAGCAAAAACCAGTCTAAATTTGTGTTCCAGTGTTGGCACAAAGCAGGTCTACAGCATAGATCAGATCTACAGAACAGACCTACTGCCACATTTGGCTGAAGTTTGTCTAACAAAAGTGCAAAAATGCATCTGTTTGTCACGATGTGCGTTTGGTTTGGTAAATGTGCAGTTTTGTGTAAAGTGCCAGAGGAAGTTCTCTTAAAGAAGAGGTTCTCAAACTGTGGGTGAGGGTCCAAAAAAGGGGCACAGAGTGTTTCAGTGCAGTTTGCTTGGCTTTGTATTAGGTAGATCATTATGACTTGGTCATTTTGAAAGTAGCTCGTGTGCTGAAAAAGTGTGAGCACCCCTGATGTACAAGGTGGGGGAGACCTGAAATCAAGTGATTGGTTCTGAACACCAATCAATCTGATACTGCTAGCTATCTCCTGCCCGTGGTTAAGTCGGCGCTGTCATGATGGTGTGTTGGTGATATTTTACTCTTAGTCCAACACTGTGCGACCATGGCAACTTCAACTTCAAATCAAAGTGCGTCTGAGGAGTCAGTTTGAAGGATGAATTGTGTGGCTTCTCTTCAGCAGAACCCTTTTGCAAAGCATTCGCTCGAAGAAAAGAAGAGAGTGAAGAAGCTGGGACCGGACCAGCCAGATTTGGGTCTCCAGCAGAAGACCAGAGATCGCGGCAGCTTCTACATCAGAGCATTTTCCCACAGCTATTATGAGAAGCGGCGATGGCTAAAGGGATGCAATGTGAAGAATGCCCTTTTCTGTTTTCCTTGTTTGCTTTTTAATTGTACCTTGACCGAAAAGAAGTGGACATCTGTTGGGGTTAGTGACTTGAGGCATCTTACTGAAAAATGTAAACGCCATGAGAACTGCCGTAGCCACTTGGAAAACTGTTTTAGGCTAAGTGTTTTTTGTCAAGGTAAAATAGCCACGCAACTAAACGACGGCTACAGAGCTGGAATAAGGAAGCATAATGAGGAGGTCACCAAAAACCGGCATATACTTTCACGAATCATTGACTGTGTGAAATTTTGTGGGGCATTTGAACCAGCCTTTTGTGGTCACGATGAGACTGACTCTTCAAATAACCCTGGTGTATTCCGTGATCTTGTCGATTACGTCTCTTCTCTTGATGAGGTTTTGAAGGAGCACCTTGAAAATGCATTCAAAACAAACTGCTGGATTGCATGCTTTCAGTGACAAGGATGGATTAAAAGAAAGGACAGTGACTTTGTTTCCATCCAGGCAGATGAAACCACAGACATGTCCACCCAGTCTCAACTTGTTCTCGTGCTGCTCTACCTGGACAGCACGTGAACGCTACCTGAATTCTACCTGAACGCTTTTTTTCTTTCATCCCTCTGCAGTTCGCCACCACTGAATCCATCACCACTGCATTGGAGGAGCAGCTGTCAACTGTCGTCCCAGATCAGAAGGATAAACTCATCTGCCAGGCTTATGAGGGAGCAAGTGTGATGATGCAAACTACTTCAGGAGTTCAGAAGAGAATGAAAGAGCAATACCCCAAAGCACACTACATCCACTGCTATGCTCACCACAAGTTTCCAAAGTGCACCTGTGTCCTTGATGAAGTGGTGGCCCATAGTCTGCCCACCTCCAGCAGCATTCGATGGAATTTTCACAGTTTGAGAACAAAGAGGAGCTCGTTCAGTGTTTTGAGAGGAGACTCTGGTGATTTTGATGCCAACACAGAACATGAGGCAGAAGCTCTTGCAATGCTACTAGAGAGCCCAAACTTTTCTTTTTTTCTTTAACTTTTTCATGAAATCCTGCCTCATGTGGACATCCTGTATGCTAAGCTGCAGAAGAAGAACATCGTTTCCTTCAACATCAGGGGGAGCATAGAGCAGTTCCAAATGGACATACACAACATCAGGTCATTTTCCTTTTCTATATTATTATTATTATTATTATTATTATTATTATTATTATTATTATTATTATTATTATTATTATTATTATTATTATTATTATTATGTTAGTAGTGATTTGCAATACAATTACAATACTTCATGTGACCTTCTCAGAGACTGTGACCATTCTACTGCTGAGGAGCAGAGCAGTGGATCTCGGCGAGGGAAGAGGCATCAAATGCTTAATCTGGACAACCGTGGCAGAATTGCTGAAGAGGTGAGTAAATGTTTTGAACAAACTCATATGTTCATCTTATAGCTAGGTCTCAGATGACATCACAACATTCTATAGGCCAATCATATTTCATACATGGGGCCAGCTAACATTAATACTGTTAAAATGCAGATTTGTGTTGTTATATAAGGAGTCATAAGATGTGGTCATTAACAGAAATGATCAGGTTCAACATTTTTTAATTATAGATGTAATCAGTAGGGAAAACTGGCTCTTGCTCCATCTGGGAGTTTGACATCATGACATTCTAAAAACTATCAATTGTTCTGAGAAACACCACATTCCCACACTACCTGCACATTACAATGTTATTATGACACATCACCATGGTTTACTTCTTGAGTTTGTTTTATGTTATATATTTTATCATTTCTAACCATTAGTAATACTAGTAATTAGTTAGTATTTAGTATGTTGCACAATATTGCTGAGGCACAAACTCCTAGTTTGTAAATTAAGTTTACTGGAAATAATGACTGATAATTATTAGTAATATTACTACATAAATCATAATAAATAAATGAATACATAAATGAATAAATAAATAAATAATCATATTTGACTTTGACTTTACCTTCCAATTCTGAAATGTGAAATGCATAATTCAGTTGAAAGTATTCATAATGTACAGTATACATGTATGTTTTTCCTTTACGGACCATCTCATCAGTGCAACTCTGCTTCAATCGGACAAGTTTGAAGAATACAGCAGGACATTTCCTGAGCATGCTCTGCCCATCACCT